ACTGAACACAGAAGCTACAGGAATATTACTTCGCACGAGTTACAGCAGAACTCGAAGAATTACTCAAGGTTATCCTAACTGAAATATTTACCTGTAAGATTTTACTTTTTTGGAGGCTACTTAAAAACGGGTCAGCTGAACAACTATGTTAGTATATACAGTAGCATGAATTTGACATGAAATTATATATTTCAAATGGTCACATAATAAGCAGTCAACCTCATTATATTATGACTATTAGTCTAGCAAGGTAAATAAATTCTACAACCTAACCAGTGTTTCTAGGTATACTAGCCGTACTTTTGAAACTCCGATGGTTGGTGGGTAAAAAGTCCGAACGTTGTTTGGGACATGACTTAGGTATCATTGATCCTCTGACAATTAAACTGTACTTTGGATCTGTATGTCATCACTGATAGACTTAACGAGATCTAACGAAATGTAGGATACGGATGTCCTTGAGCGGTGTTCGATGGGAGCGATGCCATTTTCTCATCGGGAGTGAAACCTACTAATGAACAACTACCAAAATACTTTGCAAACTTGAGATTATTTCGTAATGACCACCATTTCACTGTCCTGGAAGAAAGTCTTGGGAGGAATGAGTGCTAGTGAGGTGAAACCATGGGATGATTAGCTGCAGAAAACTAATAGATCAAACTAAAGGTGTGATGGCATTATCAGGTACGTGCGAGATACTTTGTCAGTGCCAGTTATTCAGACAGTGTCACACGATAATCAGACATTTAGGGTTGTAGGCTTTTGAGTGATATATCAAGGATAGGATTCTGAGTCACTTTTGGTTTGAAGCTGGCAAAACTTTCCAAAACAAACGGTAATCGTTGTCAGCATAGCTGTAGAAGTTTCAAGGTGATCTAAATTGCTGTTTCCCCTGACCAACAAACTCATTTGAGATTTAACTGCCGGAGTATATAGCATTCTTATGTTATATAGTCTAACCTTAGTATCGATCAAGTAAATTAGTCAGTCAACCATAATAACGTAAAACCTAGCATATTGGGAGTGATCTCCCGGTATAAAAAGAATGAGATCTTTTTAAACCCAAGAATTCAAGTTAATTTACCTCATCCACGGCGGTGAGACTGATGTTATCATTACTTGCATAACCCCTTCAACCATCGATTATGATAATCGCGTTGGACCTAACCACACAACATCCCACTACCAACCACATCACTTAAACCAACGGTCATGTTCGTCTGATATTACCCCTCAAATTCCCCACAAGTTCTCATCTTACCCCTCTCTCAAGATGATGATTTTATTGGTGCCTAGTACCTTCGTACGATAAGTAACCACGTATTACCATACTCTTAAATTTATAATTGTACTCCATCTTCATTACCGAACAGCAAAGACAAAATCTCAGAAGCTTCGATGAGTTTATTTCCTAACGTTTCCGCAATATTAAGCACGTTTCAGATCGTTGGCGTGGTGAGAGCCACGTATTTATCTGGACTCTTAATCCTTACTTAATCAAACAATTGAAAAGGTCAGTAGCACCACGCACACCCAGGGATTGGTTGCAATATTGTATGTTTAATTTGGTTCCTTTAGGGTCACTACTACTGATTACAACTGGTCTTTTATCCATCAAATCTGTTGGACAACTTAAATAAAAATAATAATCCGGAAACATCGCTGTCGAATTTACCCCAACACTGACTGAAGTTTATGCCATTATCACAGATATGAGTTAGGAGTTGTACTCTCGTTGATTACAGCTTGTGCTCTTCACGATAACCACAAGAGCAGGACTCTCCGTTTATCATCTTGTAAAGATTCATTTAACCGGAAGCATCGTACAACACCTTATCATCCATATTTGTGGGCAATAAGCTTGGTTGACTCACTCATACACACTGATCTCTATATTATTCAAAACGTGACACTTTCAACTGGCTTTTAAGCACCAGCAACCAATGTACATGAATATAAGTAGTCAATCTATTGGACATGTGAACATTGGAGTCCAGAGCACATCTCTCACGAACCTACTCATATTTAAGGGGTTACTGTTGTGGTGCGTGCTACTTATATTGATATAATTAGTATATAACGTGAGTTAAAAGAATGTAATGTCTGGCAGCAGAAGATGGGGAAGATCAAGAAAGGAAGAGCGAGAACACAATGGATTTTGTAAGAAACCGCATGAACAATGAAATGTGAAACAGTGGATTGATGTTTCAACGGCAACAGTCCGGTTTGATATGATGGAATGATATTTTGCAAATTAACGACTTGCTATATGGTTTTTCTATTTTACCAAGTAATTCTGTAATTTTGTGCTAAATACAATTTGGTTGTCCTCGCCTGTGTTCTCCTTCACTACACTGTTAGCTATCTGTCTGAAATTCACATAATAATTAGTACAAAGATGCCAAACGTATTTGGAGTTTGACAACACCTTAATTAGTAACATCTTTCATAATCGAAACGTGCCAACCCAGTCAAATCAGAAGTCCGAAGCGACGAGGTTCGAGGATATATTTGACAGAATATAGATATATCGAGAAGTAACTAATCTAAGCCGGCTAATGGCTGTAGGGGATGTGAAGTATTAATTTTGGGGATTTATTTGCCGCTACAGGTATTTTTAGGTAATTAATGACCTTTTGATAACGGTTCATACATATTGGTAGTTTTACTAATTCCTATCACGGCTAAGCAATAACGAGGTAGAGGAAATCTGTCGTTAATAAACAAATAGTATTAAACTTGACAACCAACTGAACAACTAGTTGAAGCTCTTCCTCCCCGCGGTTAGCTATTGTAAATCACCAACATAGATGGTCTGTTTTGAATGACTGAGGGCTAACTCGCACCGATGTCATACATTACGGTTGGTACCTAACGTTGATCACCCATTCGTCGTATACAAGTACTGTGGCTATCTTGGTGACCATACAGCACAGACAACGGTGTTACAGAAATATGTTTATAGGAGTAGATACAAGGAAGAGAGTGCGACCATCATCGCATGGGCCAGTCAATGACGTGCAATTAATTGATGCATGTTGGTTGTTCTCAACCTTGACGAGGATCAGCAAATTGTTGGTCGTTCCGTGACCCAATCGCCAGATGATTTGGCTAGAATTCAATGACATTCCACTATACCTACACTACTCCGCCACCAGATTCAATGGCCTTATTAAAATTAACAAATTGACTGAAACACTAGTTGGAATTCTCCCACCACCCCCGTGGAATGCAAATGCATTTGTAAATCAACTTATATGGATAGCAGGCCGGCATAAACGTTAACTGTCTTTCTAATTCAAACCAAAGTTTACACCAACATCAACATTGATACAGTATTGATTGTCCTTCTATTTATCAGCACAAAATTCTTGAACTCCCCATAAGTTAAGCTATTAACCAAAAATCATTACTATTCATCTGGATGTGACTTGTTCAAATAGCTTTATACTAAATCATTCTTCATCATGATAATTCTTTTCTGCTCAGTGATTAAGTAATGTTCACGTGGATTTTCATTTTACGCGTGTTAACAGTTAAATCAAACATTTTTGAAATTACAACATGTATTTCCCAATTAGTCGCTGCCTCCTTCTTTTCGATTCAACTTTCAGTTTATCAATATACAGAGGATTCTTATTATTCTTTTGGTAACCTGTGACTTGTGACAATCCCACTCGATTTGATATCAAACCAACGTTACGTTGATTATGGTGGGATAGTAGCGTAGAAGTATTGGTTCTTAATCACGTGTCCTCTGAAGTTGAACATATAACTACTGGGAAGATTTACATTCAACATATGACGCTAAGTAAAGGTGAACAATAGTGAACGCGGCAACAGGAGATCGAAATGACATGGCTCGGTCATGCGGTTTGGTGACAATAATCGCCAACAAACCAAATAAGGCAACATATACTTAGATGCAAGCAACGGTCGAAGGAGTGATACATATAAGACAGACCATGGGAATGGTCATGGAAGAACATATATGAAGGAATTTTTATTGTACTCGCACAGCAATCGCACAAAGTGGGTTGTAAAGCCCTCCACAAGTTTGACACTTAGGAAAGAGAATACTCGGGCGTTCGTGAATGAACGTGAGAATATTGATGGACGGTCTTTTGACGAACTTGAAGGAATCTACATAATATAGTGGTGGAATGCTGTAACATCAGCGACCAACTCATTGTTGTTACCAGCCCTTTGGACAAAGTGATATAGTTGCCATACATATGGCCACAATACTGGGCTCTAAAACGATGATAGTAATCATGGAAATTGAATGCTCGTCTCTTAGAAGTGTTTGCTAAACAGTCCATCAACACGAAATGATAAAGGATTCTGGAAAAAAACTGGTCTAATTTAACTCTACTAAGGCACATTATCTTCACCAGATCTTCTAAATTAAAAGTGTCGACACATTTAGAATCACAAATATGTCACGAAACTTGATGTCAAACACAATATTTATCCTATATAAATTGTGAGACTACGAAGTGACAGACGATACTTCAGATAATAGGCTGTTATATAAAAACCAAAACGATGCAGACATTATGGTTAATTACTTCTTAAAGTAACAAAATAGAATTTAGTTTCCCTATACATAAGATGGCATGAAATGAATCACTCTAGCCACGGCAATTTCAGCAATACAGAATGAATTCAGTAATAACTGCTACTTGATATGTTCATCAGTCACTATTCTCAGTGTAAACCAACCACAGAGTATCTACCACGCACTTTGTGCTATTCTTGATAGATTGTGTCAACATATAGAGAGAAATTCCAGAGGTAACTGATACACAAGTAGCGTTTAGACTATATCTGGTTTACATGTAGCCTGACGATACGTTGTGTACTGAGGGTGTATGGGAAGAGACTCTGAAAGATGGAAATTTTAAAGTAAAGGTTTTGTATAGGGAAATAAAATAAAGTTATTCTAACATTCGCAGATGTACTATTTGTTGCTAAGTGGGTGTTATGAATTTAACGGGTAGGCGCGCCCTGCGAATCTGTGAGGAAAACACATGGGTGTCCTTGTAAGATAGTTTTGTGTAATTAATGGGTATTTTAATTATGTAAAGAGTCAATAAAATGGTTTTTTCTGGGCTAGCTACTCAATGTTGCCTTTTATCTGCGCGGACATGCATCTGTACCAATCAAAGTTATGGTAGGAACGTAGGGCACATTTTTTATATATACGTGAAACTTCATGGTACTTATTCTTTCACACTTACCGTCTTGAAAATTAGTTGCACTCCCAAGGTAGACTAGGGAAAATGGCTCCAAAAGGTCATTCAACAGTAGAACTATGGGTTTCAACTTAGATTTTTGTGTCGCTTTAGTGGTGCGTCGAAGTTTCATCATTCGTAATAATGTTCGTTAATAATTCTGACTACTGATGTAATATAAGGTTCCAATGGTCGTGATTTGAGTATCACTCGGATCTTTGTCTCAAGTTAGTTCACAAAGCATCCTAATTAGGACATAATAACACCCGAATTGCTACTAAAGTTACGGAATGCCAATACTAGGTCACCTCGCGTTCTACGATACGATAAGGGAAGAAAATTCAGGCATTTTAAGTGCTCGCCGTAAGGGAGTTGGAAAAGTTCATTCACCAACTTTTCCCCCGCACAATGAGCAACCACTAGTGTGTCAGTATGCTCGATAATACTAAGACCAGCTGCTTGGACACAGTACACTAGGTGTGGTCTTACATATGTGGGATATAAAATCCAAAGCATTTAAATACTCAGTAGAGTGACCATAACTCCCAGAAACCTTTAGCGGCTGATTCATTGCACTGCGCAGTTATGTCACTACTTACTGTTACCCCTAAGTCCTTGTGTCTTTACAGGCATGAAAGTGATGTGCCGTTGATAGTATGCTTGTAAGCGTTGTCGTGTCTGATAGGCATTAGCACACTTTCTAGAATCAGCTTCTAATCCCCACCTTTGGGACCATCTAACTGATTCATCTAGGTCAGCTTGAGGATCAAGATCAACCTCACCACTTATTCTCCAGATTTCGACATCATTCGTAGACAGCAGTGTTGACGAGTCAAGCAGTCTTGGCATTTCGTTGAAGTAGAGAAGGAAAAACAAGGGAGCTGATATGATGCCCTGGAGTACACCACTTCTGACCGGCTTCCATTCAGGTAGTGTCCCATTTATCTTCACTCTCTATTCTCGGCTACAGAGAGAGTTTCTTATCCATCCTTGCAAGGGACCTGTTATTAAAAATCTCGAAAGCTTTCGAATAGACCCTAAGTGAGAAACTTTACCAAATGCTTTGCTAAAATCTATGAATATCACATCTAAATATAATCTATTATCTTAGACTGCTGCCCAATACTTTCGCGATTAGTAAGTTGGTTAAGCGTGAAAGCTTATTCCGAAGCCTGTGTTGCTCAGGAGTTAACCGGTTGTATAATTCTCTGTGACTCAATAACTCAGCTCAAATTATCTTTTCAAGTAACTTACCTACTATGCTGGTTAGACTGACAGGTCGACAGTTCTATACGATCAGTTTCTGACCATATAGGGCTAACTACAGTATCTTTTCACTCTCTAGGATGTTGAGTGTGGGTTAAGAGACATGTTAATGAGTATCGCGAGTGGCCTTGAAGTGTCTGCGAGAAATGACAGCAGTTGGGGATGTAACCCATCAAGACCCCGTATCTGAAACCTATGGTATCATGCTAGTTGCTTCCACATCGTGGCTTATAAGCCGACGCTGGAACTGATTGGATAAAGCTGTGGGGTGGTTGGTGTATGATATGATTTCGTGGTATTAAAGAAAGCTTTACAGGACTGGTTTCTGTTGGTTCTTTAAGACTTTGGTTGGGGTCCTAGAGATGGTGCAACTCGGTGGCTAGAGACGTTATCCGACATGGCTCAGAAGAAAATACTAGTGACGGCTCTGCTATGGTTTTCATTTTATTTCTTTGATAATGGTGAAAGGGACATTTAGTTGAAACAATTAATCGTGATTACACTTTTTAAAATTGATTTGCTTCTCTTACTACAATCTATTCTTACTCGCTTATTCCTATTCATTTATTTGTTTCTGATTACACTTCTCCAATCCTCTTTGATTTAATCCGCTCCTTATAAAATAATCATCGATTTTTTGATACACTAACTAATATTTTTATTTTCATTCATCCAGATTTCCGTTTCTTTCCTAAATTACCTTTATTGTTATGTTGATGTGTGGTGTGAGAACTTAAACTAATGCATATTTATTCCAGGTTTTACGGTGTCTTTGACGAACTGACAAATACGTGGCTGAGTACTGAGTAAGCAGGCTTGCTCTTAGTTACTAAGTTCGGTCACATTCACCAGTTCGCTTATGCGTCAGCGATCCGAGTTACCTTTTTTCAACCAGTGAATGAAATTCCTAATCGTTCTACATAATATGGTTCTTTTTTAATAAGCAAAACTCAAAGATAGATAGGTAGATGTTTACATGGCTTTCCAGATCCGTATTTTGGTCTTGTAGAGCTTCTGCCCGGTGACTCTGTTTAATTTTGAATTGCATAGCGATATGTTTGTGTGCTAAACTACCATTTTGCAACTTCAATAGAGTAGATGAGATTTCTTTTTCCTGCTTCACTGACTAAGGTTAGAAGTTCAATTTCGTCATAAAAGCTTTGTTGAAGACGACCCGAGTAAAATTAAAAATACATTTAAATTTATCATATATATCGATTACGATAATTATAATTTTTGAACTAACTAATTGTCAGTAAATACAGATCACAGTGAAAATGCATTGAAATTCTCTAAAGCAATGTAACGAAAGTTTGTTGGAGATTGACCGTAAGTTCATCTTACATCAATATCGATTTTCCTTATAAACCATATTCGAGGATTTCGCATCCTCAACAGAAATGTTATCAAGGGATATCTCATCATAAATCGTAGTCCTTTTTTCGTTTATAGTTTATTTACGAGAAATCAGTTGCATAAATCCTATCCTGTCAAATAACTATTGTTTCAAGGTTAATTGCTATTTTCATTTTAGATCTTCCTGGACACTGATCAATACTTGATTATTGTGGTTTCTCTTTGTAATGATTTAGCTAATTTACTAAGTACATATATGTTAACTTTTGTTTATGATAAGTGTTCTGTGTGTGGCGTCATATAATGTTCGGCTGCTCAAATTAAATTAGGTAGGACAGTGTCCGGGCTTATTACTTAAGAATAAAATACTAAGTACTTGATTCTCTAATCCATCTATCCTCCATTTCTTTGTATAATCTATAAATTATTCAATTATCATTATAAAAGCCTATTGTTCAGCATTTGGTTTCTTATATAAGATACTTTATCTACTTTTGAATTGCAGAAATATGTTTTACAATCTCCTATTTCCGTTCAACTTCATTCTCTTACCCTAAACTTGTCGTCGCAGATAGAAAAAACATGCTGTCAATCTGATTCCACATTCTCGAGATTCCTGTCATCTACTCATCGGACACTACTAGCTAATCTGTTTTTATTTCGTCACTCAGGAACGTTAATCGTCCGTCGTTTACGTGAAAAATATTTCAGCTTACACCCAAACATAAAGACAGATTCTCGGTTGTTTATAACTCAGAAAGTTTTACTTGGAGGGTCTTTAATTTCATTTGCTCAAGACAAAATTACCGATGAAGAGGTCCTAACGTAAGTAAAGCTAGTGACTATTCTCATTTCTGTTTTATCTTTAGCACTTTGAAAAGTTTTTCAATAAATGGTACTTCAAATAATTCCAACAGAAGTAGTCCATTTGTTGTTGTGGAAGATGATACTAGTGAAGAGGATACCCATTCACCATTTGAAGATCGTACAAGAAACGAGTGCTCTGAATCATGGGACCCACCACTGACTTTAATGATACGGGAGTTACGTAAAACATATTTAAACCGGATATCAATGTTTTCACGTCCTACTACGGAGCCAGTTGTCGTTGGTGATTCTTGTTTATCTGCTTGTGATACAGATCCTCATGCTAATGAAATTTCAAATGAAGATCACTTTACTGCGTCTCTTTCGTCGTTGTTTATGGATTTAAATATTCAGCCAGATGGTACAGGTTTTGTTGATGAGTCGTGGGAACTTGTTTATGATCGAACAAGTATGCGCGTTTGGCGTAGACCACTGATGGTACCTCAGATAAATGGTGAATGTAACCCCCCAAAATCAAATGTCAAGTACGAGTACCGAGGTAAGTGGTTTAGAATAGGTTCTACTTGTTTTAAAGTAGTATTTTACTGACCAGTTTTGTTATAACGTGAAAAATGCTGCTGATTAGAGGGGTAGCGAATTATTGATCGGACCAAAGACGCGCAAACACGTAGAACGACCTAGGGTTCTGATTGGTCCCGCTTCCTTGTCTAGCCCAGCCAGTTGAGTCCAGAACGCAAGTCCCAGCCTCTGAGTTATGAATCATTATATTTCAAACATACTTTGTTTATATACCAGTCAAGCAGACCACAACGTACCACAAAATAGAAAATAACATTGTACAATATTGGCCAACAGGAAAATAACACGTTAAATAAATATTGATCAATAAGATGATACCATTTCATGTCCAAGAATAGCATCAGGCTTAACAGGATAATTTTTGGGATATTTTCCTGAATATCGCAACAAGTTTTTATTAATTTTTGCTTATGGAGGCTAACAGTATTCGTTAGTCAGTCAGTCAGCTACAACGTACGACCAGGCACATATATGCATCGGTCCAAGTTGCCATACCACATTAACACAACAAGATGAACACCGGATTCATAGGAGTAGTTAGTTCAAAGGTGGTAATATATAAGAGAAAGATTGCATATAGAGATATCCCGACCGTTGTTGCTACCTTGACGTGGTGGTCGGGCTTGCCTATCGTGATGAAGCAACCGAGCTATACTGGCTGGAACAACCGTTCCTCAAGGTCCTACCATGTCAGACAGGTCGGTTGAAGAGCGGTAAGACTAAAAGCAACAAACCCAAGGTCCGAAGGCAAAGTCGTACTGTTGACTGTACAGAAGTATGACAGTAGTAAGCTGTTTCCTTCAGACAACCAGCATGACAGCGATGCTGCCTTCTCACAAGGAGGGGTGAGGTTAGAAAAGGTCGACCCTAAAAATGTGCACCTCGCTTCATCCCACGGATATCTGTCTCCGGCGGTAAAGTCTAAACAAGTACGAGCTAACAAAAAAATAACTCATAAAAAGGTCATGTGTGACCGACCTCAAGCAGTTGTCCCTTGGGAACTTTGGTCATGCTCTCAGGTCACTGAGACCACCTCTAATCCTATTTCCTTTTCAGTTACCTCCAGAAACCTTTCCACGGTGTGGGCAACCGGAAACTGAAAACCGCCCTCATAACTCTAACAGCACTCAAGACCACTGTATTCATAATCAACCTTCCTCTTCGATTCCTAATATTCCTTCTACATCGACTTTCAACACTAAACTTCCTCTTTCTGCTTCCTCCTCAAGTGTAACCATAGCCAACGATTCTAGTGCGCAAAACACTGTCCCACATCTACTGAAACCTCGCTCCAAACGACACATTGCAGCCTTCAACGTACACACCCTAGGTCAAATCGGTCAACAGGCTTCCTTGGCTAGAACCCTAGAATCTCGTACCATTGATGTATGCTGTGTCTCTGAAACATGCATACAGGATCCCAGGGTGGTCATTCACTTGACCTCACCTCGGCAAAACGGAGAGCCAACGAGATACGCCATCCGTGTATCTGGCGACCCGATGGCCAGCTCTCGTGGACTTGCAGGTGTAGGCATAGCACTAAGCATGAGGGCGGAACAAGCACTGCTAGAGTGGATCCCCGTCAACAGTCGTCTATGTGCTGTTCGGCTAAACGGCTTCCTAAGAACTCGGAAGAACAGGGACACACGTCCTTGCATTTTTGTCGTTTCTGCCGACGCTCCCACTGACTGCAGCTCACATGAAGTGAAAGATGAATTTTACACAAAGCTCTCTGAACTTCTTCAGAAAGCTAAACGCTCAGACATAGTACTCGTAGCAGGTGATTTTAATGCTCAGATAGGCAGTTTAAACCAAACAGAAAGGCATTTAGGTGGATATTTTAGTATTCCGACACAGCGAACAGATAATGGTGATCGTCTGCTGCAGCTATGCTCAGGCAATAGTTTATTTTTAGAAAACACAAATTTAAAGCTTAAGGAGAGACATCGTCTAATATGGCGACCCCCTGCACCAAACCAACGATGGACTCCAATACATCATATTGCCATCAGTCATCGTTGGAGAGGGTCGATAGAAGATTGTCGCTCATTCTGGAGTACCTGCTTGGACTCCGACCATGCCCTAATACGGTCACGCATCTGCTTGCGCCTCACTGGACTCAAAAAAGCCACATTAAAAAGACCCGTTAGAACTGAGTTAAGTAACGAGAAAACCAGAAGTAGGTTCCAGGAACAACTGAGGTCACACTTAGGTAGTTGTGAAGATGAGGCTGACCCAGATGTTGCTAGGAAGGGCATACAATCAGCTGTGGAAACAGCAGTGACATATATTAGTGACTTAAACCACAGAGTTGTAAGGAACCAGTGGATTTCTTCAAGGTCTATTACACTGATGGATCCTCGCAAACTCGTCCCATCAGGTTCTGAACATGATGAAGAGCGAAAACAAATCAGATCTAGGTTAAGAAAAAGTCTAAGAAACGACCGTGAGCAGTGGTGGGCATCGAAAGCAAAAGAGATGGAAAAGGCGGCGACTATAGGGAACACAAGACAGCTTTACAGACTAATAAAAGAAACTGGAATTAATAAGTCAAGTGTAAGTGAGATTATATCGGAAAAAGACGATACACTCATCTGCTCCAAGTCCAGGCGTTTAGAACGATAGGCGGAACACTTTAGGGAACAGTTCAGCTGGCCTTCAGCTACTCTACAACTACCCTCCATTCTCAGACAGTGTGAATGGAACATTGAAGTAGGTCCCCCAACTCTTGCTGAAGTTCAAAAGGCTATAGTTAATCTGAAACGAGGAAGGGCAGCTGGTCCAGATGGATTGGCTCCAGAGGTCTTTAAGGATGGTGGTCCAATTTTAGCGATTAGGTTGACTAATATTTGAGCTAAGATCTGGTAGTTAGACGTTATTCCATCTGACTGGTCACAATCACTTATCGTCCCAATATATAAGAGAGGGTCAAAATCATCCTGTGACAACCACAGAGGGATTAGTTTAACAAACATAGTATTTAAAATACTGGCCTCGATAATTATCAAACGCCTAACTAAGACTCGTGAACTACAAACTCGAGAGAACCAAGCTGGCTTTAGACCTGATCGTGGCTGCATCGACCGCATATTCACCATTCGTCAGGTTCTAGAACAGACATACTTATCGGCGTCCGACAATCGTGGTCTTTCTTGACTTAAAAGCAGCATTTGACTCGGTAGACCGCGAGATTCTGTGGCAGTCTGTCATTGAAACGCGTACCTCAGAAGTACATAAACCTTGTGAAGGCTCTTTACTCGAACACTACTAGTCGAGTCAGAGCTTATGGCGAACTGTCATCTACTTTTGCAACCTCAAGTGGTGTCCGTCAAGGCTGTCCACTTTCTCCATTTCTGTTTAACTTCATCATAGACCTATTGATGGAAATAACACTCTCGTCGACTGAATTCTCGGGTATTGATCTCCTTCCAGGAGGTCCACTTATCGACTTAGAATACGCAGATGACATAGTCCTGTTTAGTGAAGACGCTGACAAAATGCAGAGTCTTCTGGCAGCACTAAGCAACAATGCCAGAATGTTTGGGATGCGCTTCTCTCCCTCTAAATGCAAGTTGTTGCTTCAGGACTGGTCTGGGTCAACACCTGAACTAAGGATAGGGAGTGAAGTAGTTGAACGCGTTGACAACTTCACTTATCTTGGAAGTCTGATTAGCCCTAATGGGTTGGTGTCTGACGAAATCTCAGCACGGATTCGAAAAGCTCGTTTGGCTTTTGCCAACTTACGTCATCTTTGGCGAAGGCGAGATATCCGTCTATCAATAAAAGGGCGAGTATACTGCGCGGCAGTTCGTTCTGTTTTACTTTACGGCTGCGAAACATGGCCCTTAAGAGTAGAAGACACCCGTAAGTTACTAGTATTTGACCACAGATGCCTTAGAAATATTGCTGGCATCTGCTGGGATCACCGGGTAAGTAATAGTGAGGTTAGACGCAGGGTATTAGGGAATGATGGTAAATCAGTTGATGAGGTTATGAATCTTCATCGACTGAGATGGTTGGGCCACGTATTACGTATGCCTGAACACCGATTACCACGACGTTCAATGCTAACCGGTATTGGAGATGGTTGGAAGAAAGTTAGAGGTGGCCAAACCAAAACGTGGCATCAGTGCCTGAAGTCACTTACTTCTAGTCTGAGCCATGTTGGTAGATGGAGACTACTTGGTTGGGGTCCGCGTGTCTTTCGTAACCAATGGTTGGAGACTCTTGGTGACATGGCTCAGAATCGATCACAATGGCGTCGGTGTATACACTCCCTGTCTTCTTTTAAACTAAGAGACTAAAATCACTTCATTCTTTCTGTCTACGAACTAATTCTTTCTTCCTATACTATATCCTTATTGCAACCTTTGACCTAACCACTCCTATAAATCCGCTGTTCATCTTGCTGTGCTAATGAGGTATGGCAACCTGGACCGATGCACATATGTGCCTGGACCTACGTTGTAGCTGACTGACTGATATAGAGATATAGTACAAGAAGAAAGAATTGGTTCGTAGAAAGAAACATATGGAGCAATTTTATTCTCTTAGTTTAAGGGAAGACAGAGAGTGTATACACCGACGTCATTGTGATCGATTGTGAACCATGTCACCAAGAGTCTCCAACCATTGGTTACGATAGTCACGTCGACTCCAACCAAGTAGTCTGCATCTACCAACATGGCACAGACTAGAAGTTAGTGTCTTCAAGCACTGATGCCACGTTTTGGTTTGGCCGCCCCTAACTTTCTTCCAACCATCTCCAACACCGGTTAGCATTGCACGTCGTGGTAATCGGCGTTCGGGCATACGCAACACGTGGCCCGACCATCTCAGTCGATGAAGATTCACAACCCCATCAAATGATTTGTCATCATTCCCTAATACCCTGCGTCTAACCTCACTATTACTTACCCGGTGATCCCAGCAGATGCCAGCAATATTTCTAAGGCATCT